GAGGCAGGCGCCGGAACTACTGAGCTAAATCCCCGGCCCCAGTTTTCTTAATTTTAAAGAACACTGCAACCAGCATCCTTGAATACACACCCTTACCCACTAGGGTATATGTTTAGGAGAGATGTTTCAAAATGGAATAGCATGACCTGGGTGTGACACACACCTGTAGTCCTAGCATTCAGGAAACTGAGGCAGAAAGATTGTGAGTTCAAAGCCAACCTGGGCTACATAGTGAGTTTATGACCAGGCTGAGCTGTATTGTCTCAAAAAAACCAAAACCAAGCAAACAGAACGTGATACAAAATAAAACAGCTTGATTAAAGGGTTACATGCCTTTAAAATAGGGACTAGTGCTGAGCATGGTGGCACACATGTGTAATTCTAGCACTCAAGAGACTGAGGCAGGAAGATTGCTGCAAGTTCAAGCCCAGCTTGGGCTATATAGTGAATCTAAGGCCAGCCTGAACTACATAGTGAGACCATGCTTCAAATAAATAAGTAAATAAATAAATAAGGAACGAGACTCTGCCACACCATTCTTCAGAAAGAGTGTGCCTATTATACCTACATCTGCCCACCATAGAGGAGGATCTATCTCTCTACATCCTGCAAGAGGGGTGTGAATTACCTACAAAACTATGCAGAAAACATCCCAGGCGCTGTGGGATTTTGCTGTGGAACTGGAGCTGGAACCCTGGCACCTGCCTTGCTCCTTGGCCACAGCCCTGGCCTGCTGTTGTGGGCCCCAGTGAGTCGGGAGGGGTGGGGGGATTTCACGTTGTCCGAACAACTGCCCAGAGCCAGACCACAAGTGTTGTGACAGAGAGGCCATCCTTAGCCCTCCTGTGAGCCAGGGGAGCAGGACTGTGCAAAAGAGCTGGCTGAAGGACTGAAAGCGCTAGGAGTGGCCTTCCTCTGAGTAACCTTCCCCAGGAAGAAAGGGAGGAAGCTCTAGGAGGGGAGGGGAGGAAAAGGTCCTGAGGCCAGGACACACCTGGCACATGGCAGGAAACCATATGTATGTTGAGTGAATGCATGGAGTCTTGCAAGGACAGGCAACACAAGGCTTAGGGCAGCAAGGGGCTGAGCAAGCAGAAAGAAAACATGACCACGGGGCTGATCGTGTCTAGACCACAGCCCTCCGTCACTGAGCCCTTAGAAGGAGCTGCTTGGGTTCACTTGGGCTGCGGTGTTCAGAGTCAGACCTTCGCCTCGGCAGGAGTCAGCTGCCCACCACGCGGTTCTGGGTGCACAATTTCCCTGGTTGTCTTCTCGCTCTGGCAGACTCTGAAGGATGTAATCCAAATCCCACTCTTCAAGTTGCTGAAACAATGAAGCTGGTGATTATGAGGCTGCCCCAGGGTCCCAGAGGCAGGGGCATCTGCTTTTATAGCTGCTGCAACCAGGGGCGCGTGTCATGGGTGTTGTAGGGTAGAAATTGGGGATCAAATGCATCCCACAAATGCACACATCCTTCCTTGTGATGATTGCAGCCAAACCCCTCCTGCAAGGCAGAACCTGCATGTCTTGAGGCTTCCTTCTCATGCCTGTTTTACGTCACTGCTTTTTGTTT